AAGGCAACTACTGTCTTATAGAAAGTATTTCTATATTTTTGCCTAACATTTGGGTGTTGTAATGAACATGGGACATGTGGGATGGACTCAGATGTAATCATGTTCATTCAGAAAAGCAGGCAGTGCTGCAGGGGCAGAGTTGGGCTGCAAGTCTGGCCCGAATGTTGTTGCCAGACAGTCCTTGATCTGCATTCAAAGGCATGTCCTCCACTCCATCATCACCGTCTTCAGGACCATCTACCACCTCTTCAGCCAGAAGGTCATCTGCTGCTTTACAGATGTTGTGGAGAATGCAGCACGCTGCAACAACTGTGGGCGCAAAGACAGGGCGGATCTCAAGTGCCCACAGAAAGATGGAGCGCCACCGTGTTTCAAGCATTCCGAAGGAGCGCTCAATGATGCTTCTGGCTTTGGCATGGTGCCTGTTATATTGTTGTTCCACTCTGTCTTTAAAGAAATACAGATGAGAAGATTTATGCTGCATAAATCTGTAATCCAATTAGCTGTGGGGTTTTAGATTTTAAAAACTGTAAACAAAAAAAAWATGGACTTACTGCGCACAGGCTGTCGATAGGGGGTCATCATGCAGACTGGATGCTGCAGACAGTGGTATCCACCATCTCCCAAAAGAAAGAAACCAGCTGGTGGATAAAGGACTTGCTTGTACATTGGGGACCTTCGCAGGACCAGTGCATCGTGCACTGAACCTGTGTTTCCAATGTACACATCTAAGAAAGAACCGTTTCCATCACAGATGCCTTGCAGTATTATTGAAGGAAAAAGTTTCCTGTTTACTTACGATTTCTTCTGTGGTTCAGCAGGAGGAAGAATCCGAATGTGGCATCCATCAATGGCACCTGCAGCGCAGCGGAACACGTCGTTGCCAGCAAGACCTGCAAAACCAGCTCCCACTTCCTCCAGGTCTTCTACTTTGGGGAAATGAACAACCTTGTGAAGGATGGTCATCATTTCATCCACCACATTGTGCACAATCCTGCAGACCATTGCAAGTGGCATTGAGAAGATATTCCCAGTGATCAAGCTAACCAGTAAATGGTCACCAGGATTTCGAATTCATGGCTCCATCCATGATCCTTTTGCCGAGGTAGCAGATGAACAAGCTGGTGAATGCTGGTCCTCGAGAGCCAGAATGCTGGCTTTAAGTCAGCGTCAGAAAAAAGCATTTCTAACACCGGCATTTTATTATTCAGTACTGAATACCTGTGTGCTTTGCTTTGTTCCTGTGGGAGAGAAAAAAAACTCATATGGACAACAT